GGACTACCCTATACGAGATAGGCACCACGAAGGTGTGTGGGACTACCCTATACGAGATAGGCACCACGAAGGTATGTGGGACTACCCTATACGAGATAGGCACCACGAAGGTGTGTGGGACTACCCTATACGAGATAGGCACCACGAAGGTATGTGGGACTACCCTATACGAGATAGGCACCACGAAGGTATGTGGGACTACCCTATACGAGATAGGCACCACGAAGGTGTGTGGGACTACCCTATACGAGATAGGCACCACGAAGGTGTGTGGGACTACCCTATACGAGATAGGCACCACGAAGGTGTGTGGGACTACCCTATACGAGATAGGCACCACGAAGGTGTGTGGGACTACCCTATACGAGATAGGCACCACGAAGGTATGTGGGACTACCCTATACGAGATAGGCACCACGAAGGTGTGTGGGACTACCCTATACGAGATAGGCACCACGAAGGTGTGTGGGACTACCCTATACGAGATAGGCACCACGAAGGTATGTGGGACTACCCTATACGAGATAGGCACCACGAAGGTATGTGGGACTACCCATAATGAGATAGGCACCACGAAGGTATGTGGGACTACCCTATACGAGATAGGCACCACGAAGGTATGTGGGACTACCCTATACGAGATAGGCACCACGAAGGTATGTGGGACTACCCTATACGAGATAGGCACCACGAAGGTATGTGGGACTACCCTATACGAGATAGGCACCACGAAGGTATGTGGGACTACCCTATACGAGATAGGCACCACGAAGGTATGTGGGACTACCCTATACGAGATAGGCACCACGAAGGTGTGTGGGACTACACCTATACGAGATAGGCACCACGAAGGTATGTGGGACTACCCTATACGAGATAGGCACCACGAAGGTATGTGGGACTACCCTATACGAGATAGGCACCACGAAGGTATGTGGGACTACCCTATACGAGATAGGCACCACGAAGGTGTGTGGGACTACCCTATACGAGATAGGCACCACGAAGGTATGTGGGACTACCCTATACGAGATAGGCACCACGAGGTATGTGGGACTACCCTATACGAGATAGGCACCACGAAGGTATGTGGGACTACCCTATAACGAGATAGGCACCACGAAGGTATGTGGGACTACCCTATACGAGATAGGCACCACGAAGGTATGTGGGACTACCCTATACGAGATAGGACGAAGGTGTGTGGACTACCCTATACGAGATAGGCACCACGAAGGTGGGACTACCCTATACGAGATAGGCACCACGAAGGTATGTGGGACTACCCTATACGAGATAGGCAACGAAGGGATTGGGACTACCCTATACGAGATAGGCACCACGAAGGTATGTGGGACTACCCTATACGAGATAGGTGGGAAGGTATGTGGGACCCTATACGAGATAGGCACCACGAAGGTATGTGGACTACCCTATACGAGATAGGCACCACGAAGGTATGTGGGACTACCCTATACGAGATAGGCACCACGAAGGTATGTGGGACTACCCTATACGAGATAGGCACCACGAAGGTATGTGTGGACTACCCCTATACGAGATAGGCACCACGAAGGTATGTGGGACTACCCTATACGAGATAGGCACCACGAAGGTATGTGGGACTACCCTATACGAGATAGGCACCACGAAGGTGTGTGGGACTACCCTATACGAGATAGGCAACCACGAAGGTATGTGGGACTACCCTATACGAGATAGGCACCACGAAGGTATGTGGGACTACCCTATACGAGATAGGCACCACGAAGGTGTGGACTACCCTATACGAGATAGGCTACCCCACGAGATAGGAATGTGGGACTACCCTATACGAGATAGGCACCACGAAGGTATGTGGGACTACCCTATACGAGATAGGCACCACGAAGGTATGTGGGACTACCCTATACGAGATAGGCACCACGAAGGTATGTGGGACTACCCTATACGAGATAGGCACCACGAAGGTGTGTGGGACTACCCTATACGAGATAGGCACCACGAAGGTATGTGGGACTACCCTATACGAGATAGGCACCACGAAGGTATGTGGGACTACCCTATACGAGATAGGCACCACGAAGGTATGTGGGACTACCCTATACGAGATAGGCACCACGAAGGTGTGTGGGACTACCCTATACGAGATAGGCACCACGAAGGTGTGTGGGACTACCCTATACGAGATAGGCACCACGAAGGTGTGTGGGACTACCCTATACGAGATAGGCACCACGAAGGACTACCCTATACGAGATGTGGGACTACCCTATACGAGATAGGCACCACGAAGGTATGTGGGACTACCCTATACGAGATAGGCACCACGAAGGTGTGTGGGACTACCCTATACGAGATAGGCACCACGAAGGTATGTGGGACTACCCTATACGAGATAGGCACCACGAAGGTGTGTGGGACTACCCTATACGAGATAGGCACCACGAAGGTGTGTGGGACTACCCTATACGAGATAGGCACCACGAAGGTATGTGGGACTACCCTATACGAGATAGGCACCACGAAGGTATGTGGGACTACCCTATACGAGATAGGCACCACGAAGGTGTGTGGGACTACCCTATACGAGATAGGCACCACGAAGGTATGTGGGACTACCCTATACGAGATAGGCACCACGAAGTGAATGGCACAGATGTATGGTTATGATCATTATCTATTTTAATCTCCCGAGCAGTGATTTCAAACCAACTATGAAAAGTTATACACGGGATCTTAATGAAAAAAGGGTGAGACACCCAGGTAGAAATCAATAAACTTCATTACTTTTAACCAGGAATTGTCATACCTACTTAACAGTCGGTTAGTCCCTTGTGAAGAAAGGTTTACCATCAAACATATTGTGAACTTATCAATAGCAAGGTATTCACAATATCAAGCAGTAAGAATACATGATCTTGTGAATGAACCTGATGAAGGAGCAAAGAATTATCTCTAAAAAGTCGTGCTAAAGAATAAAAAGAAGATAAAATGCATGTATTTATGTTCTTGGAAACTCAAGGACATCCAGCAGTAAATCTGAAATACATGTATCTGCTTACACGTGTGGGTGGGCATCTGTATTGATCTGTATCATACATTGTAAACATGGGTGTGCATAACTAATTATTTATTTGTTTTTACATTCGGTGTGATGGTTTTATCAACGGAGATTATTGAAGGCATTGTCAAGGAAGCTGAAGTGCTGAAACATTATTGTCCATCTGTGTGACATGTAATTGATGTATCATCAACGAGTGTCTAAGGGCGTACCAGAGCGTTTAATGTGTACTACGTACAGTCGCCTGTTGTTGTGACGTAGATCCTGCAGTCTATTATGCAGGAGGTTGAGGTGACCAAGCTTTGGTGACTTATAGCCCGTGCTTTAAACTGAAATGTTCTTACATGGGAAGTTGTGTGACAATATCCTTTCGAATATGACATCACACACTTGATTACATGTACAAACCTGGTCTCGTCGTCAAAAGGACTGAAATAACGTCAAGGCGACGTTGAATTTTAATTCACACTTTTCTAACGTTAATATTTTCACAAGGAAACACAAACCTGACTATCAGTAGGTGTATACTTATTTTCGGGCTGTTCGATTCAGTATTGTAAGAAATCGAAAAACATGATACTATGCCAAGACACCATAGCATTCCCATGCTCTTAAACGAGAATACGAACGAAAACAAAACTTTTGATATATTGTAAAGGATATTCTAAAAGTCACCTTCCGTGATTAAAATTGAACAAAAAGTTTGTAAAATAGCAATAAAAAACACAAAAAACGTACCCGTATTCCGCCTATTACGGAAACCCCCGACAGTTAATGAGCAGAGGGGGTATCATGTGACATGACGTCATATGTGCCTGTTGCTGATGGCTTCCTCTTTGATAATAATAATACTATTCAGGACAATGTATGCTTCCCCAGTGTTTGGTTATGGAAATAGTTATGGTACTCGGTCATAGCCTTAGAATGACATCTTTTCAGCCAATGAGAATACAGAACAACTTTCACGGCACACACTACTGACAAATAGCGAGGATGATGCCAACGTGTGTAATTGGAGAAATTGGAAAATAATGAAAGCAACAAGTACTTCATAATTTGCTGTTGTGTTTGGCAATGTTTCGGGTAGACTGCAGCATTTAGGGCTCCAAACCGAAAAGAACTTTGTAGCGAAACATTTTCAAGTTCATGTGTAATCTCTTACTGATTTTGATAATATATATCGCATGGGTACCAGTCGAACTGCCCAAGCTACAAAATGCCCCAGCAAATTTGGTCATTCATTCTAATTTGGTCAAATTTATTTAAAATGATTAAATATATGCCGTAAATGCATAGTTTTTTGTCAACTTTGATATTATGATTTTCATATAAATGTTATTAGGAAGTAATATTTCTGATAAATGTTCCATGAGTAAACTCACAACTATGTATATACTTTTATATGAAGAACATAATATCAAAGTTCAGATAACAGAAACTGTTTTCGCGATAAAAACACATAATACACCATATTTTTGAAATACAAATTGGGGTACATGTTTCTGATGACTTTATCTTTCACCCAGCAAATTATTGCAATTGTCTAGTATTCTCCTTTAAGCATTTCCATTGAATATATTATTTACCATTAAACTGTAATAAATGATCTAGCTATTCCTGGTGACATAGCAAATACGTATGTAGGAGATAGTCATGTATTTTGTTTATAAACCTCGTAAACAATTGTGCATCAAGCTCTAAGCATAACTATGAATAAATGTTTTGTAATTATTATCATATTTATCGTGTTTTTGTTTGTTTGCTATCTCAGTATATTCTAATATATACTGACTCCAACAGGTTCAATAAGAAGTTTTAATGACACTTGTAATATGATTTGATATTTCAAGTTGGGAATGTATATGGCGTTATGCTTTCCATACTGCTAATATGTTTTATTATATGTACATTAAATCCATTTTTGTTTTAATATTAGACGATGCTGGGAACGGTGGGCAAGCAGAGTAGTAGCGAGTACGACGTTTCGCAATTGATGCGGGATCTGTATGACAGCATCGAACGAGAGAATGACTTAAAGGAACAACTTAGATTCACAGAAGAAGAGACAAAAATGATGAGGAAGAAGCTTGCGGAGATGGAGGAAGAAAATGAGGGCCTCAACATGCAGATCAGGAAGATGTCCCGGAACAACAAGAGACGCGAGCTGAAAGAGAAGGAGAGGTTTATGAAGGAGAGTGAGGACAATGACTCGGATACTGACAGTAGCAACGACATTGATCTCAAAATACAATGTGAACTACTGGAGCAGGAAATTTCGGTTTCTAGGAAGAAGATTTCAGATGTGGAACAGGACAACGAGAATATCCGCGAAGAGGTGAAATTCTTGCAAGAAAGACTTGAGGAACAGACTCAGTTACTTAATGTCAAACCGGAACCCTCTTCCCCAAACGCTTATTACGAAGATAAGATTAAACAAATGACCATAGAAACCGATGATCTAAAATGGAAGATTATCGAAAAGGAACGTGAAATTGAGCGCCTGTGTGCCCAAATGAATTTTATTCAACATTCACATCGCCAGCAGCAGGGCAAACTAAAGAAGAGTAAGAGCCTTGATAGTGACTACCAGGAGGTCGTCGATCTCAGGAGACAACTTGAACACTCGGCCCTAGAGGCCGGGGCCACTAAAGAACGGTTAGCTCAAGTAGTGATGCAAAACGAAAGTGTTTCCTCCGAAAACGAACGTTTGAAATTGCTGCTTAGCAGACAAATTCCGTCTATCCAAGCAGATGATGCTGCAGTTGAGAATATAGAACTCAAAGACAAAGTGAAAAAGTTAGAAGACGACAATCATTCATTTCAAGATAGAATCAAAACCTTGACCGAGAGTTTACAAACACTCACCAAAGAACCTCGCTCGCTGTCGGCAGAACCGCCATACATTCCTAAAAGTGGGAGCCCCCCGTTGCCACGTGACCTGACGAAACATTTGGAGAGCTTACAAGAAGAAAACAGCGAGCTCCGGCGGAAAATGGCGGAACTTGAGTCGACCAGTTCGCGGCGGATTTCGGAAGAAACCATTCAGAAGACAGACGACCAGAAGGCGGTAGCAGACGACAGCAGCACAACCATGGACCCAGAGGATATGTCACGGCTTCAACTCGTAGAAAAGGTTCTAGATCTCGAGGATGAAATATGTAAGTTGAATTAAGTTTTCGCTGTTTTCGTCAAGTTGTATCTGTGTCTTGGTAACCTGATCCCCGATATCGTGTGGCTCGCAGGCACGTGCGTTATTGCCAGCTACTGATATGCGGTTGGGAGGGAGGGGAGGAAGGCAAGTACCAGTCGGCGAATGTAGGAGTAGACTAACAGCTTCTCCAGGCATTGTGATATCGCTGCATTGCTGTAACGTTATGAAATTGTGCGCATCCCAACTATCTTACCCTCTTTATCTTACAACGTTTACCGACACTGTAGCGACGTAGACCTGGCTAGAATGTTGGGAGTAAGTTTGTCACGTAGGTCTGTTCTTAAAATAACAAATAATAATGCATATACTTATATGGATGAGAAGGTGGGGGCGGGGGGACAGGGGATGAGGCTGATTTGGTGCATTTAATACTGGGAGTTAAAACTAATATGCAGCTGCAATTCGTGTGCAAGTGATATGGCGATGATAACAGGTTAATCCTGTGAAGGTTTATAAAAACAGAGATGTTTACAACCAATCAAAGTGCGGCTATGCCCGGGATATGTTTTAATGCGAAGCCATTATGAAATGCCTCGCTGTACAGAGAAATGCTTTCTAAATCAAATTTGTTTCTGTAAAGTAATGTAAAGGGACAGTGGGAATCTCGTTAATCCATTCATGCGTGTCACCAATTAGATGATAGATGCCTGGCTATCTTAAGAGAGTGAAATTCGATGACTGGAAAGCTAGGTATAGTTAGCTATATTACAGCAGAAACACACTGTGTTCACGGGTAAGAGTAGCTATTCATACCGTTGCGACTTCCAAGGACCGATTCGTAGCAACGTCGTTAATTATTGTTCACATGAAATTAATGATAACAATAATATTTAGGAGATTATTCCACTCTGGCGGTGGCGAAACATAAAGATATATACATGATGTTCTGAATTGTTAAACGAACTGCACATGCATTGTAGGTTCATTGAAGCATACAGCCACTCAGAATATATAATCTGTAATTCATTACAAGGTATTTGAACTACTAGAGGTTTGAAAAGTATTTGTTTACCCTTCTGCGTGCTGCTACACAGAAAAGAGCTCGAAATGACGCCATTTTGGAGTAGAACGTTTCAGTTCCATCCAGTCGTACAGTCCATCCAGTGCGCCCAGATCTCTGACATTCAATAACTGTAATGACTGCCTAGATCTATCACCTTCGGTAACTGCAATGACCGCGAAATCTACCATATTCCATCTTTGTAATGACTGTATAGGTCTACCACCTTCGGTAACTGCAGTGATCGCCTATATCTGTAACCTATAATAACGATAATGACCGCCTAATTCTACACCCTTCAATAACTTTACTGACAGCCAAGATATATCACCTTCAATAACTGTAATGACGAGCTTGATCGACAATTTTCCATGACTGTAACAACAGCCGAGATCTAATATATTTTTTACCTATAATGACCGCCTAGATCTACCATCATTTTTCGTCACTGTAATGACTGCCTAAATCTACCACCTCACACCACTATGACCTACCAGCACTGTTAATGACTACCTGAACAATCACAGCTAAATCTACTACCTCACACCACTATGATCTACCAGCACTGTTAATGACTACCTGAACAATCACAGCTAAATCTACCACCTCACACCACTATGACCTACCAGCACTGTTAATGACTACCTGAACAATCACAGCTAAATCTACCACCTCACACCAATATGATCTACCAGCACTGTTAATGACTACCTGAACAATACCAGCTAAATCTACCACCTCACACCACTATGATCTACCAGCACTGTTAATGACTACCTGAACAATCACAGCTAAATCTACCACCTCACACCACTATGATCTACCAGCACTGTTAATGACTACCTGAACAATACCAGCTAAATCTACCACCTCACACCACTATGACCTACCAGCACTGTTAATGACTACCTGAACAATACCATCTAAATCTACCACCTCACACCACTATGACCTACCAGCACTGTTAATGACTACCTGAACAATCACAGCTAAATCTACCACCTCACACCACTATGACCTACCAGCACTGTTAATGACTACCTGAACAATACCAGCTAAATCTACCACCTCACACCACTATGACCTACCAGCACTGTTAATGACTACCTGAACAATCACAGCTAAATCTACCACCTCACACCACTATGACCTACCAGCACTGTTAATGACTACCTGAACAATCACAGCTAAATCTACCACCTCACACCACTATGACCTACCAGCACTGTTAATGACTACCTGAACAATCACAGCTAAATCTACCACCTCACACCACTATGACCTACCAGCACTGTTAATGACTACCTGAACAATCACAGCTAAATCTACCACCTCACACCACTATGACCTACCAGCACTGTTAATGACTACCTGAACAATCACAGCTAAATCTACCACCTCACACCACTATGACCTACCAGCACTGTTAATGACTACCTGAACAATCACAGCTAAATCTACCACCTCACACCACTATGACCTACCAGCACTGTTAATGACTACCTGAACAATCACAGCTAAATCTACCACCTCACACCACTATGACCTACCAGCACTGTTAATGACTACCTGAACAATCACAGCTAAATCTACCACCTCACACCACTATGACCTACCAGCACTGTTAATGACTACCTGAACAATCACAGCTAAATCTACCACCTCACACCACTATGACCTACCAGCACTGTTAATGACTACCTGAACAATCACAGCTAAATCTACCACCTCACACCAATATGATCTACCAGCACTGTTAATGACTACCTGAACAATCTACCACCTTCTTCAATGTTCGCATGGGTGTTTTACCTCCATCATTGAAATGACTAAATCTACCACTTCCCATATAACTGTTATGGTTACTTTCCACCAACCATCACTGTAATGACAGCCTAGATCCTCCACGTTCTATTAATGTAATGGTTGCCGACCACATTCCTTCACAGTAAAGACCGCCTACAACTTCACACAACTGCAATAAGCTCTAGATCTGCCACCTTCCACCATTGTAGTGACCGTCTTGATCTACCACCATTCAACACTGTAATAACTGGCTACATCTACCACCTTCCATCACAGTAATGGTCGCACGAAACTGAACTGTGAATGGCATTCTTTTGATCACTGGTGAACTTTTACCAACCCTGCGAATTCTTCCACTCTATCTTGGAACGGTTCCAGTTGGCAGACAAGCCTGTGCTAAATTAATTGACAAGAATGCGCCACACCGGTGTGTTTCTATCCTAGCACACTCGGCCTCAGCCTGTACACCAATCGAGGCACGGCGCAGCAAGCCAAGTCTAACTCTCCCTTGCAATGACGAAGCATGTATTTACAATCTCTCTACCATGTAACTTTAAGATGCCGAATGTCACGCTGAATATTGTTTTATACAGTATCCATATCTGTTCCAAAATTTTAAACGGTCAGAGTATCAACTCGTGCCATATTTTGGATGTGTGTCCATTCTATATGATCTGTAACTGTATCTTCAACACACCGAGAGGCAGAATAGGTGGTACACACACCCTGAGCCTTCGAAATACAATATACACATATGTATGCACCACTGATATATACTTGATACCATATGCATGGGTAATATAGCATGGCATGTCCAAGAAATAGAACTGAAACAGAAATGGACAAGGTCAAAGCTGAAGCATACCACCGATTACCGTCTCCGAAACAATGTCGGTGATAAATTGTGCTTCTATTACACCCTCAGGGTAACAGGTATCATTGGGGGCAGCATTTATCTCAGTAACGCTTATATCGGCTCGTGAGGGAAGAAAAACATTTAAGAAGTTTAAGAAACACGTGCAAGATGTTTCCACAGGTATTGCCTCTCCCTGGGTCCCAACCGCAACCCCTGCTCGTAACTGTGTGTAGCAGAATTCCATTTACCATTCCCACACAAACACAATATGCTTCAAACCCTCACCGGGGAGTTGGGGTAGCCTTGTGGTTAAAGCGTTCGCTCGCCACGCCGAAGTCCCGGGTTCGATTCCCCACATGGCTACAATGTGTGAAGCCCATTTGTGTTGTCCCCCGCCGTGATTGTGGATGCAAGACACAAAAATTCTTTACTCGCACCAATAATTTATTCTGGTATACGTTCAATTTCACTTTGACTTCTTTCTTTGGCTTGGTGAGGTTCAGAAAACTACAAAGCAGAAATACAGACTTGCTAAGTAAATTATTCCTAACAGTCAAACTACATGACAAGTCAAAGTAAATTACTTCAAATTAACAGTTACAAGATAAATGAATAAAATGTACAATTAACAAAAACCTCAAATAATATTACCTTATTATGCCTTGAAATATATTACAATAGCAAACAATGCTACTCACATTTGTGTTCATGCCAACTACAACAGCTGATGTCTCCAACATGGAGGCAGTGACAAGCCATGTGCTCTGATGAGGAGCAACACTCACAATAAGAGGAATGTGTTAATGTGTTATGACAATCATGATAATACTTTTTGGAAAACTAATAACAGTTATAGCCAAGCTAGACTTTTTGAACCTCATCTGAACTAAATTTTACAATGGAAATTACTACACTATTTTAGAACTTTGTACTTTGCAACATAAAAATATAACCTTTTGACAACAAATATCGTTAGTGCATGAAATTATAAACTAATTGAAGTGAACATTTTTTCTGCATCAACAGTGATATTGCTGGAATATTGCTAAAAGCGGCGTAAAACCAAACCCACTCACTCACTCAAACCCTCGCCCTTGCCAAGGAGTAAACTGGTCTCGTAGATGACGCGAAAAGTGGAAGGTGCTGGCCAGCTATTCATTATTGACTTTCTGTGACTCTCCTTTGAACTTCGTCTATAACATAATGACCTTCATCAGCATTACATTCTATCATGTTATATGAATGTTCCCCTGGTGAATCTCCCACAACAACGGCCAGGATATTGCTGAAATACTGCACATGTAGAAAAGTATAATACTTTATGGATAACAACTTTTTTATTTGTTATGATGGGACGTTTCGGTATAGCTTCTTATACCGTTGAGTAAAGTAATACAGCACAGAACCGACTTATATACATGTAACAGGGATTAAGTAAGACAACATGAGGGGATGTATTCATGTTGTCTTACTTAATCCCTGTTACATAACAAATAAAGAAGTTGTTATCCATAAAGTATTATACTTTTCTTCTATCCATCAACTTCTAAAATGCCAATCAAACAGATTACTGTAGATGTGAATACAATTCAACTTGACAACAATGTGTCCTAGCCATCTGTAACACAGGTGTCTATCTCAGATTTCTTTACATTGTTTTCTGTAACATACGTGTCTCAACTCGCCATTTACAAACATGTTTCTACCTTGGTTACCCGCAGTTACCACAGAAAACTGCATCATGCAATTCTACTGTGTTTATCTCAGTAAGATGCAGTGATAAGCTTACTTTCCTAGGTAGGATAGATAGATAGATAGATAGATAGATAGTTAGTTCTGTATGTAAAATGAAATGATACTATCCAGTGTATTTCAGTGGACCTGAAATCAGTAATAAAGCACAAAGAGTTGGAGCGTGAGGATGTAGAGCGCGAGGTGACGTCACTAAAAGAACACATTGATGAGACGAGCGACATGTGGAAGAAGAAGGAGGCGGAGCTTGAACAAGACCTGGCTATGTTGCACGACAAGAATAGCGTGCTGAGCAATCTACTTGAAATCGTCACTGAGCGGGCCGATAAGGCGGAGCAGGAATTGGAAGCTGTAATAAAGGAGGCGTCTGCGCAGTCAGACCGAAGTGCCAGCCAGGTTAGCGCCCTTAGCAACGCCAGTGTCGGCAGTGACGACGTCTTCCTCTCTCCTCCGCCTCATTCAGACAAGGGCACCGTTATACACAGAGACTGGGATGTGAGTAGTCGGGTTAATTCGCATAATTATTTTCTGTGACATAAACGGCAAAACGGCATTTTCAGTTGTTTAAGGGAGGTTACTCTTTTTCACTACATCGTACGTGGGAATTCAAGGCCAACATTAAAAGCATTGTCAACATGAAATCACAGATACCTGCCAAAATAGATACTTATAAACAAAATACGTATGGCTATAAAATGCCTGAAATAGTTGTTATGTGATAAAGCAATAGCAAACGTTTCTTGGATACGTGTTACGCGAAATTTGGCCATGGTCTGATTAATATCCATGAGTGTATTCCTTTTGTGCGACGGAATCTATGATGCCATTTATAGTTGAGATTGGGCCTTTAAAGTCATAGATAGGTGTCATATGCTAATCGCCAAATTTCTGCTTTGGAGAGTCGCACGGCTACATTATCACTTCGTAATAATGGGACATGGAATGGTTTCTGGACTGTTGCGTGAAGAGTCTTGTCAGCTTCAGTGTGAAAGTTAACATCAATATAATCAAGGCATTAGGGAAAATAGAATGGTTCAGGGACTGTGAGACAGACTACATTGCAGGGAGGACTAGGCATTAGGGAAAATAATGTGGTTCAGGGACTGTGAGACAGACTACATTGCAGGGAGGACTAGGCATTAGGGAAAATAATGTGGTTCAGGGACTGTGAGACAGACTACATTGCAGGGAGGGCTAGGCATTAGGGAAAATAATGTGGTTCAGGGACTGTGAGGCAGACTACATTGCAGGGAGGGCTAGGCATTAGGGAAAATAACGTGGTTCAGGGACTGTGAGGCAGACTACATTGCAGGGAGGGCTAGACATTAGGGAAAATAATGTGGTTCGGGGACTGAGACAGACTACATTGCAGGGAGGACTAGGCATTAGGGAAAATAATGTGGTTCAGGGACTGTGAGACAGACTACATTGCAGGGAGGGCTAGGCATTAGGGAAAATAATGTGGTTCAGGGACTGTGAGGCAGACTACATTGCAGGGACTGTAGGCAGAAAACAACGTGGTTCAGGGACTGTGAGGCAGACTACATTGCAGGGAGGGGGCATTAGGGAAAATAACGTGGTTCAGGGACTGTGAGACAGACTACATTGCAGGGAGGGCTAGGCAGGGGGGAAAATAACGCGTGGTTCAGGGACTGTGAGACAGACTACATTAACAGGGAGGACTAGACATTAGGACGTGGTTCAGGGACTGTGAGACAGACTACATTGCAGGGAGGGCTAGGCATTAGGGAAAATAATGTGGTTGGGGGACTGTGAGACAGACTACATTGCAGGGAGGGCTAGGCATTAGGGAAAATAATGTGGTTCGGGGACTGAGACAGACTACACTGCAGGGAGTGCTTGGCAGTAGGGAAAATAATGTGGTTCAGGGACTGTGAGGCAGACTACATTGCAGGGAGGGCTGGGCATTAGGGAAAATAACGTGGTTCAGGGACTGTGAGACAGACTACATTGCAGGGAGGGCTAGGCAGTGGGGAAAATAGTGTGGTTCAGGGACTGTGAGACAGACTACATTGCAGGGAGGACTAGACATTAGAGAAAATAACGTGGTTCAGGGACTGTGAGACAGACTACATTGCAGGGAGGACTAGGCATTAGGGAAATAACGTGGTTCAGGGACTGTGAGGCAGACTACATTGCAGGGAGGGCTAGGCAGTAGGGAAAATAATGTGGTTCGGGGACTGAGACAGACTACACTGCAGGGAGTGCTTGGCAGTAGGGAAAATAATGTGGTTCAGGGACTGTGAGGCAGACTACACTGCAGGGAGTGCTTGGCAGTAGGGAAAATAATGTGGTTGGGGGACTGTGAGACAGACTACATTGCAGGGAGGGCTAGGCATTAGGGAAAATAATGTGGTTCGGGGACTGAGACAGACTACACTGCAGGGAGTGCTTGGCAGTAGGGAAAATAATGTGGTTCAGGGACTGTGAGGCAGACTACATTGCAGGGAGGGCTAGGCATTGGGAAAATAACGTGGTTCAGGGACTGTGAGGCAGACTACATTGCAGGGAGGGCTAGGCATTAGGGAAAATAACGTGGTTCAGGGACTGTGAGACAGACTACATTGCAGGGAGGACTAGGCATTAGGAAAATAACGTGGTTCAGGGACTGTGAGGCAGACTACATTGCAGGGAGGGCTAGGCAGTAGGGAAAATAATGTGGTTCAGGGACTGTGAGGCAGACTACATTGCAGGGAGGGCTAGGCATTAGGGAAAATAACGTGGTTCAGGGACTGTGAGGCAGACAACATTGCAGGGAGGGCTAGGCATTAGGAAAATTAGAGTGGTTCAGGGACTGTGAGACAGACTACATTGCAGGGAGGGCTAAGCATTAGGGAAAATAACGTGGTTCAGGGACTGTGAGACAGACTATGCGCAGCCACAATATTTAACAGAATAACTTGTGCAGTTTTAATGATGAATCAAGTAACGGTTTCCGCATACGAAACAAAACAGCATACCTACAGTCTGTATTTAGAGTTAGTTCCCTTCGAAACTCGAACCACTGATAACGCGGTTTTGCCACATAAACAACAGGGAAAGATAAGTAAGACACAATTTCCACCTGCACAGTATTTCAATACTATATTCCCAAGTGTGTTAATGTTATTTATTGTATACCACTGGTCATGAGTACGTCTAAATATGGCGGATATCTGTCTGCAAACCAACCTTCTCCAGAGACAGATGAAAAAGCGGGTCGAGTCCTTGGAGCGACTGCTGGCTGAAGAACGACTGAAAGTGATGACGGCAGAGAAAAAGTTGTTGCTTGTCACGCAGGAAACAGTCTCCACCGCCATGTCAGACGACTCGAAACTACACCTGAGAGAGAAAGAGCTACTACAACAAGAGGTAGGATACATACAATCGACTGGTGTAGCTGTAGTGTTTCTATATAATCTATTTGTAGAGGCAATGTTAGTGGGTGGTAAATGGGAAGACATTTACTTGATTTCTACTAACCTACATACGAACAATGTATGGGAAATAACTTCCATGTATTGCTGTACAGCCCTATCTAACGTTGTAGCCACACCTCCCATCTGACCACCACAATGTAGCCAAACCTCCCATCTGACCACCACAATGTAGCCAAACCTCCCATCTGACCACCACAATGTAGCCAAACCTCCCATCTGACCACCACAATGTAGCCAAACCTCCCATCTGACCACCACAATGTAGCCAAACCTCCCATCTGACCACCACAATGTAGCCAAACCTCCCATCTGACCACCACAATGTAGCCAAACCTCCCATCTAAGCACTGTAATGTAGCCAAACCTCTAAACATCTGACCACAATGTAGCCAACCTCCCATCTTGTAGCCAGACCTCCCATCTGACCACCACAATGTAGCCAAACCTCCCATCTGACCACCACAATGTAGCCAGACCTCCCATCTGACCACCACAATGTAGCCAAACCTCCCATCTGACCACCACAATGTAGCCAAACCTCCCATCTGACCACCACAATGTAGCCAAACCTCCCATCTGACCACAATGTAGCCAAATGTCCCAGCCAAACCCACAATGTCCCATCTGACCTCCCATCTGACCACCACAATGTAGCCAAACCTCCCATCTGACCACCACAATGTAGCCAAACCTCCCAATGTACCCAAACCTCCCTTCTGACCACCACAATGTAGCCAAACCTCCCATCTAAGCACTGTAATGTAGACAAACCTCCCATCTGACAATCACAATGTAGCCAGACCTCCCATCTGACCACCACAATGTAGCCAAACCTCCCATCTGACCACCACAATGCAGCCAAACCTCCCATCTGACCACCACAATGTAGCCAAACCTCCCAATGTAGCCAAACCTCCCTTCTGACCACCACAATGTACCCAAACCTCCCATCTAAGCACTGTAATGCCCTAAGTTAAGCTCTCAGTTGATAATGCTGTATTCTTACCTCATATCAGAGAATTATAAGTGAGAATCATATCCAGTCAAACTGGTTTTGTGTCACCTCGCTTCCTGTTACTTCTTATTGTGCCTGTTAGTATCTGTTATCCCATCGTGCTGCGTTGTCATCTAACCTTCCATCATGCTTCGTTGTCATCTATCCTCCCTTCAAGCTGTGTTGTTGTCTTTCCTCCAATTATTCTGTGTTATCATCTATCCACCTATCGTGCCGCGTTGTCGTCTTTCCTCTGTTTATGCTTCTTTATCATATATCCTATGATGCTGCATTATCATCTATCCTATCATGCTGCATTATCATCTATCCTATGATGCTGCGTTATCATCTATCCTATCATGCTGCATTATCATCTATCCTATCATGCTGCATTATCATCTATCCTATCATGCTGCATTATCATCTATCCTATTATCATCTATCCTATCATGCTGCATTTATCATCTATCCTATCATGCTGCATTATCATCTATCCTATCATGCTGCATTATCATCTATCCTATCATGCTGCATTATCATCTATCCTATCATGCTGCATTATCATCTATCCTATCATGCTGCATTATCATCTATCCTATCATGCTGCGTTATCATCTATCCTATCATGCTGCATTATCATCTATCCTCCTATCATACTGCGTTATCATCTATCTATCATGCTGCTCATCTATCTATCATGCTGCGTTATCATCTATCCTATCATGCTGCGTTATGCATTATCATCTATCCTATCATGCTGCGTTATCATTATCCTATCTATCATCCTATCATCATGCTGTTATCATCTATCCTATCATGCTGCAATATCATCTATCCTATCATGCTGCATTATCATCTATCCTATCATGCTGCGTTATCATCTATCCTATCATGCTGCAATATCATCTATCCTCCTATCATGTTGCATTATCATCTATCCTCCTATCATACTGCGTTATCATCTATCCTATCATGCTGCATTATCATCTATCCTCCTATCATGCTGCGTTATCATCTATCCTCCTATCATGCTGCGTTATCATCTATCCTATCATGCTGCGTTATCATCTATCCTATCATGCTGCATTATCATCTATCCTCCTATCATGCTGCGTTATCATCTATCCTATCATGCTGCGTTATCATCTATCCTATCATGCTGCGTTATCATCTATCTTATCATGCTGCGTTATCATCTATCCTATCATACTGCATTGCCAGATTCTATTCTTCCAACCTGCTGCATTGTCCTCTCGCCTTTCTGAGTGTTTCCTTGTGGTGCTATGCGTGCTAGTCTCAGGTCAGTTACTGCTCTTCCATGTGGCAATCAGATTTCCAACAATATTGCGTCTGCCTGTAAATATTCGTTTCCTGACCAGATATCCCATTGGTTGACCTCATCATGACCGATCCGACCGATACAATGACACTCAGTCAGGTTAAGCATTGAACCCATCCAGTTATAATTAGAACAGTTTACCTAATGTAATAGCGAACAAGTCTGCTGGAGATGAGGGGGGTATGTCATTCCGACCTATCTGTGTTGTTTCAGTTAATTGAGAGCCAGAAACATTTGAAGATTGCTACAGATCAGATAAAAGGATTGAAAGAAAGACTTCACATAATGGAGGAGGAGCACATCAGACTGAAGATAGACTACAGCAGCATCTGTGAACAGGTATGTGCTGTGTAGGAGTAATGTCGATATTTATGAGCAAACATTCCATGCAGTATTTTATCATCAACCACCAACTCATACTCAGTATATCCACGTCAAGCCGACCAGTCTTTGTTTGATGCCAAACAAGTAACGTGTTTAGCTGGTGCTGCCAGGGGATCAAACCAACGACCTTGGTTCATTTAACACAGGAACACCCAGGCGGTCTTGTGACAGACAATTTCTCTTTTTCTACGGTCTGACGCATAATGGTTAATTTCAATATATATCTATTATCATTGTATCATAGGGAGTACCCCAAACCAATACCTCCAATCCAAACCTGAATATGACATGGTCAATCAGAAACCTAGTGGCAGCGATACAAAAACTCATAGAGTAATCAAATGCTTTTTTGGTTTCCTTGAAGCTTGACTTGCTGGAACACAGTGCCTATGAATCGGACAAAACTCCAGAAGGGAACATCGAACCCGACAGCATCACACCGAAACGTCTTCCTCCATTAAAGGTATGTACATGCAGTACAAATATGTGTCTATACCCTATTTTACTATAAAGTAGTGTTAAGCCATATTCTCTAACGCTCTCGTATGTTTTGTATTCTGCATACTAAATGTTTTAAGCTTATTACGTAACATTAGTGAAGAAAATTAATTCAGAAGTTATTGTTTCACACTTTCTGGACAGTTTTTTGATAATGTGTGATCACATGATAACTAGATTCCACATCGCCAGAGCAGCCTTGAAGCCATGTCCCTGGACCAGAAGTGCGCCATGTACAAACTGAAGGCCGAGGAACTGCAGTACAAGGTGGAAGAGGTAGGCCAGCTCCCACTTAGTCGGGCACCTGTACACAAACACAGCATATACAACCATGTATCACATACACGCAACACTTACTTTATACTTTCACATTTACAGACATCTTTCACGTGCTCAACTTCCAACATACCTCTGGCGTCATGACACTTTCATGAAACATGATTCTACAGCCTACAACTCTGCCTTTCCCTTCATCATGAAACATGATTCTACAGTCTACAACTCTGCCTTTCCCGTCTATGCATGTGTGAGAACGTTGTTCATTGGCATCTCGTTTGGAATGAGTTTGAGTTATTAGGTACCGACGTTGATTTGTCTCACGGCTACTTGATTTAACAAAGGAATGCGAATATCGTTAACTGTGTTGCGTGTTACTAATGATGTCTGGTGCGTACGCTGGCGCTTTGTTTCAGGGTCACAAGACAAGGATATCGTTTTCTTCCGAGAGGTCACAACCCCATATAAATATTACCAAGCTCTCCAAGCTGTGTGTAGACCTGTGTCTTACAATGAGAAGCTATAATAGAGTTTGGGATAACAGGGATATCATTTGAATCGTGACAACTTCCAATAGATTTGTCTTTGTGTTGTTTGTTTTGACGTCACAACCATAATTGCTATCTAATCATGCAGGGTCGTAAATGACAGAATTTTGTTTTTTTATATGAAATATGCCTTAACTTTTATACTGTGTCTCTTGAAATCTAAAACCTGATTGATGAAAATCTATTTCTAACACTATACAACATGTGAAGTATTTCTGTTCCAAAGATCTGCAGCACACATTGTCCTAAACGTATTTTGACTTTATGCTTCACTGCTTTGTACTATTGTTTTATTATCATTTCGTTGACACGTTCTCGCCACTGCTACATTCACCGTTACCCCTGCATTGTAGTCCACTGGATACCGGCCTCGACACACAGGTCTGCTGGATTCAACATTCAAAACCACAAAATGATATGAGTACTGACAAGCATAACTGTTTTGAATATGATTGCTGTTTCATGTGACTACTTACTATTGTCTCCTCCACAGATGGCCCTCCCCGACCCTCAGCGGCCCGCCTCTGCCTGTATACAACAGTGTTGACATACACAGCCCGTACACTTCCATGGTACACCACACAGTAACACCAGCACTTCTCCCTCCATCCTTCGAACAATCCTCCATACATGCTGCTGTTCCCGTCTTAAGCCTGAATCCTAACATGGATACGAACGTTTTATACATCGAGCTAGATTGTTAACTGAAGGTTAAGCTACAGTGCTTCGAATGGAGAACTATATTGGTCTGTGGTGTGTGTATGTTCGTGGCCTGCATGGGGCTGTGTCCCTGCCATGGTTCATCACTTCGACGAAATCGGAATAAATTTGAAGCCATTCAAGTGGAATATACTAGAACACACGCATACACACGTAGAAAACTTGACGATGGACTCTAGATATTTGGAGGTACTGACTGCGACCCTCTCAGAGGTAGATCCAGTGGATACACCCCATTTACAAAATGCATTCACTAAGGACTCATTAGCCTACCAATGGTTGGATCGCTCGAGACACGAGGGTCGTTACTTACGCCGACCAAACAGCGGGCTGTACATAGACGTTACTGGGGACGAGTTTTGAAGTGTTACGGGCTGTATGATTACCTGTCTGTGATCCGATCCATTCCAATACCTGTCAATTGTTTTACTAATAGTATGATTTGCAATACGTCTTGTTTGCATTGTAAATAACGCAAATATATAGTGTGGAGTTCATTATCGGACAAAGTGCTCAAGAACTGTGGACCTTTGAACTTGTGGCGACAATCGTGTTATTATTGTGCGAATTTCGCATGTGTGTAGATAAATAGGAATGTACACCTGAATATGATCATCATAAAATAAATTGTGATCCTACAGCAACATAAGTTTTATCGGTTTGTGCATGAATAATTAATACTGCACGCATTTCAAAAGCTGGCTGATACCCCGGATTAACATTGCATAAACAAAGTCACAGTAGGAGTACACAAACATTAACGAACAATCCGAGTCGAATTCTATGCCTACAACAGTCACAGTTGGAATACAACTCATACTTGCAAAATCCCAATCGAGGTACACAAACATACTGACAATCACAGTTGACACACACAATGTAACACAAAGCAGTCGTGATAGCTTTCACTCAGTCAATATCCACAATGGTACACAGACATCCGGACGCACAAATCTGCTTACACACATTTACAGAATACCACAACCCGACACACACAATCCGGCACAGTCGGCACACACAATTAGACACATAGTCCGAGATACACACAATTAGACACATAATCCGAGATACACACAATTAGACACATAATCCGAGATACACACGATTAGACACATAATCCGAGATACACACAATGGCGACACAGAATCTACACAAACAATCACACTATTTTAGAAGACAAATTTGTGGATAGCATGCTTATTGTATTTAGCGACCTTTCTATGAAGATTCATCGACAGAACATTACTCTACCACCATTCCAGCATCACGATTGTGTACGGATCTCCATCGAAAGCTGTATGTTGACACACAATCACAGTCGGGATATTCACTTCAAGATCAGAGGCACTTTCTTAAACACTCATGATATTATCTGTAGAAGGCTTCATAATTTAGAAAATGTATGTAATGAATCAATATTGATTCAATTATTTTACCTAAGAAGATAAGTGATCCTAAAGACACTTGTTGAAAATGGACTTATCTATCAACAAACGTATCTCCAAAGAGAGTAATCCGGTATTAAGAATAGGCCGACTTAGATAAACTTCAGTTACTTATGTGAACGATAACATATATCAGATATTTTTACTTCCTGTTGTTACGTTAATCAACCATGTAAACTGTTTTATAAGATATGCAATACTTATGTCCAAAAATGCGTTCCATTCAAGAGTGTTGCATTACATCTGAGTGATAAACCGTAGTGAGATCCAAACTTGAGAAGAGAAATAAGGCGTTAGGTTAAGTAAAAAGGCAAGGAGTGGGAAAGAATAACATAATAATAAGAAAGGGTGAAATAAAGTAAAAATATGAAACATTACCCTAAAGAAAATATCAGTGCTATTGAAAATACAAACCTCCGTACTGGAAACTATTACGAACTGAAGTTAAAAAAAAAATTCAGAAACATCAAATTGCGTTTTGCTTTTGACAATCCTACTATCATCTCTGATATGGACAAACCTTGAAAAGTAAATGAATATTTATATCCCGTGACACACATGAAAAATGAGGATAAGATTTTGATAGATTTTCCATTTCGTACTGAATTTATATCACAATTATGATTGCATTCATTAATGCTTACCTATCATTAAAGCTTCGGGACCTGACAGAATTAGTCATACGTTAGATGCTTGATTTGCATTTTAGAAGATGCTACTTGATGAACATAGAGACTTTTCTGGGTTACATCTTTTTATTCTTGAGTACAAGAATAAAAATAAGATGTAACCCCCCAAAAATCTCTATGTTCATGTTAGTCATACGTTACCTGAGAAAACTATAAACTGCATTGATATAACATTACTTTCAGTGTTCAATTTATCATTAGTGTGTTACGTGTTTAGTTGAAAAGACAAATATAATCATGCTGTTCAAGAAAAGTGACCATAATATTGTCTCGAACTGTAGGCGATACATACTTTTGTATGTGATCCGGGAAAGAATTGGTCTTCAGTAACCCATGCTTTTCGTAAGAAGCGACTAACGGAATCCGGTGGTCAGGCTCGCTGACTTGGTTGACGCATGTCATTGTATTCCAGTTGTGTAGAACGATGATGTTGACCACTGGATTGTCTGGTCCAGACTCGATTATTTACAGACCGCCACCATATTGCTGGAATATTGGTGAGTTAAACAACCAAGCAACCAACCAACCTTTGTACGAATAACTTTTGAACGGCTTCCAAGCGGGCCACTCTACTGCCCACCAACTGATTGAAGTATATCACCAAATATGTTCACAATGTGCGTGTGTGAGTGCAGCTCAATCACAGCTAACGAAACTCTTGGGGCCCTCATTTTATAGCTTGCATTGATGACACAGCAGTTAAATTAATATGTATTACCAGACTCTTTGCTGGTGACTCAAAGTTTGAAATTTTAGTTAAACCGTGACACCATCAAGAAGATACAATAGATAAGGTTGATCATCTGCCTTCGTAATTTCAAATACCGTTTATCTACGATAGGGCTCGAATCAATTTACAAATCATTCATTCTCTAAACTTCGATTTTGTGCTTTTATTGGGATAATTGTATTACTGAGCAAATGCTTGTGTACGGTGTATGAATCATAATATGTTACATAATGAAAGCAAATTTTAATCACTGTCTGAGAGAAGAAACTTTTGCGCAGCTTGACACCAAATTACCTATTCCTGTAGACATCCTCTTATAATATGAGAAATCGAAACACTTTCATGTTTTAAAAAACACATACTCAAACTACTAAGTCTGAACAAAGCTTCTACTTTGATATTAAGTATGGAATCTTTTACCCACAATCACAGTCGGCAAACTATACCAAAATAACAGTTGGTATACACGATCCTACACCAAAATAACAGTCGGTACACACGATCTTAAACCCAAATCACAGTCGGCATACACGATCCTACACCAAAATAACAGTCGGCATACACGATCTTAAACCCAAATCATAGTTGGCATACACGATCCTACACCAAAATAACAGTCGGTATACACGATCTTAAACGCAAATCACAGTTGGCATACACGATCCTACACCAAAATAACAGTCGGTATACACGATCTTAAACCCAAATCACAGTCGGAATACACGATCCTACACCAAAATAACAGTCGGCATACACGATCCTACACCAAAATAACAGTCGGTATACACGATCCTACACCAAAATAACAGTCGGTATACACGATCCTATACCAAAACAACAGACGGTATACGCGATCCTACACCAAAAT